GAGAGAGAGAGAGAGAGAGAGAGAGAGAGAGAGAGAGAGTGAGAGAGAGAGAGAGAGAATATGAGATGCTGTGTTTTAGGGCCCAAGAAAATATCTGCCTGTAGCAATTTTTCATTACGGCTTGGGGTCCGTTTTTGTGGGAAGGTTATAAGGTTTATACCGGTAAGCCAATAAGACTCCCTAATGTCAAGTATTTATTTTAAAGGGTTAAAAACGGAAAATAAAAATACACGTTACCTCCTTACAAAGATGTTTTAATGATAATATTATTAATAAAAATATAATAAATAATAAAAAACATAGATAAATATAATTACAAAACTGGAAGGATTGATGTTTATTATTATTATTGATGTTGTTGTTGTTATTATTATTGCTGAATTTAGAATTAAGTCGAAATTTCGAGATAAATCGTGAAATATTACTTTGAGATTAAATCTCAAATAGTATAGGAAAAAAATCTAAATTATTTTAGTTTATTTTCAAAATAGTAATATAATATTCCTTTTTTCTCATACTCCTCGGTAATCTCTTCATCTCTAGAGTATTTGTGTTTTTATGTGTTGCAGCATGCCTTTCATGGGGTCCGGAGTTTATTCAAATTAATCATATCTACAGAGGAAATATTTTTAGCTTTGATCGAACTAGCCATACTGGATGCGGATCCCACCGTCGTCTCCTGCAGAGGCGTGCCGATTTAACAGCTCGTCTTTCAGATCCGTGAGGGGGCGTGGCTGTTTCCGTCACTTAGCTTCGTTCTGGGTTCCTTCGTTACGTGAGGCCGACTTGGAGGGAAGTGGACGTTGCCAAGAAGAAAAGAAATAGGCGAAGGGAGCAGAAACAGCAAAAAGCACCACTTAAAAGCTGGTAAGAGCTTTCATGGTAACAAATGCTTCCACGGAGTCGTCGAGCCTTTGCTTCGATATTTCGACGTGCAAAGGTTTGTCAAAGGCAAATGACTGCCATGCCGCTTTCGCGGCCTGTATAGCTGTTGGCTAGCGTTAGCCTCTGTGGCCTGTTAGCAGGCCGCTGGGGTTTCGGCACAGGGACAGAAAAGCATTCATGTGACGCTCTCAAAAATGGGGCAGCGGTGCTTTGTGTTAGCTATCCGGCGTCGGTGTCACTTTACTTTTCACATTGAGACCTATTACGGACCCTTATAACATTTAAGTTAGAATAAGAAATTTACCTTCTGTTTGCTAATCCCGATGTACACATTTGTCATCGTAATCATTGTAAGCACAGAAAAGCGTGGAGTATGCAGCTCACTAGTTTGCTAATGCTATAAAATTTTGCTAGCCGGGCCCGTGCACGTTTCCGATTTAGATTTTGAGCTCACGAGTCGATGTGTTGTTCACCCGTGTGTTTAAAACAAAAGTGCAGTATTAACGCGGAGTCACTGTAGAAAATAATCTAAGATTTCTCAATAGTGCTTTTTATTTTTTTTATTTTAGCCGCGTTAAGTAGTGAGCACAGTAGCTCGCAGTTCCCTTGTTCTTGGAAGCTGTTCATTCAAATATTGCACATTCAAATTCTGATCTAACGCTGCTGCTACATCAGCTCCGCTCCATATCCGACTGGATAATATGGAAAAAAAAATACTAGTGCGCTAGCCCAGTTTTTCATCAGGATTACTTGTGTTCATTGAAAAGATGTAAGAGCGTCTTTAATTGAAACTTTCCATGCTTTAACTGTTAATATTCAGCAACTGCTCTAAAACGATTTATCTTGCACGGCAGTTCTGCTTGTCTGGACTCTTTGTTTAAGTTGTTATGTGGTGAATAGGTTTTTTTTTTTTTTGTATTCCCTTACCCCTGTCTTTGCAGAGTCAACAAACCATTTCTGTTCTCACAATAGTTTGGTTTTATTTGGAGGTTATGTTAGGAAAATAAAATTTGATCCAAAAGTTATGTCCGTTTCACAGGAGATAAGAGTGGGATTGGCTGGTGACCTCCATGTATGCCAATTTTGTGAGACCCAATGTTTAACTTTACTGCTAAACTATATCTATCATATAGATATGAGAGAGAGATGCATTTAATGTAAAATTAATTGCACTTTTTATGGTCTCTTTACACAATGTGCATACCAGTTCAGTTTGTGACTTCATTCATAGGCGCCCCATGTGAGAAACAAAGTAAACAGGAGAGCATTTAAGCTGGGAGAGCTGCCTACTTTAAAGCATTATAGACAATCTGGTAGCATGATTTTTCAAGGAATTTGTAGAGCTTTAATGTCCAATACAAGGTTCTGTATTATAAGATGTGCTGCATCTTAATGTCATCTTGATCAGATTGTAGGTTTGCTTGTTGAGTTGCCCTGACGTTGTTTGATATTTGTTTTTTCTCCGCGTAGCTTCAGGAGCAGTGAAGTGTCTTCATGGCAGTTCGTCGAGGACACATTAAGTATATGAAAGTGAGTACAAATGCCAGCTTTCATTTCAGTGAGTACTGTAGTATCTGACCATATTGTTTGGCAGTATGGTCAGTGTACAACATATTAATGGCATCAATTACAACTTAAAGCAAGTTGGCTGTTATATAGTAACAGCGTAACAAGTTTGTAAAAGATAATAAAAATCCAAAAGGCACACTGCAATTCAAGCAAATAATCAAAAGTTATCAGCCAGACACACAAACAATATTATGTAGCTGAAATATTGACTCTTGGCCCAATCCCATTTCAGTCTTCAACTAGTGTATTCTGTAGTGTGGGCTGTGAAAACAACAATTGAATTGGTATTTTAAAAAAATAATTTTAAGACATTTTCTAGTCATCTAAAATAATGTTAGTCCTATCAAATGTGTCATAAGACCACATTGCAGATAATTCGTGTTAGACATAATCATGAGGATTAACGTTAGGTACCAGCTTTGTTATGTTTTTAAAATGTGCATATTCATGTTAGCTTAGTGTAAATCACTGCTTTGACATAGGTAAAGTTTACATCCATTCACATCTTTGTCTAATGTATTTGGGATTATGACTTAATTGTATTCCAGTATTTACTATCCTTTCTAAACACTTACAAGCAGTATGAATGGTCTTGGCCTTTTTGACCAGAAAGTCCCAGGATTAATGAAGTTAAGGGAACTAAAGTGTGAATTCAAAGTCTCTTTTGCACCTAACAATTGGTGTCTCTACTGTACTTGACAGACTGGGATATAAAGTGAATCACACACAGGAAAGTTGAAAAGTTGTTTGGTAGGTATTTGGCATTTGCTTTCTATTACAGTTTCGGCTTCTGATGATTACAGAAACAAACAAGAAAAATCACATTTCTTTTCATACTCTCTTGAGGGAACCTGGTCTGCTGTGTGCTGTCACTCAGCCTATGGCTGCCATGCAGATCACCTGAGACAAGTTTGCTTTAGGCAAACGGGGACCACTATTTCTCTTTAGGTGACAGGCTTTATGGTCAAAAATTGCCACGTTATAAGAGTCATGGACTTTGAATGATGGATAATTAAACTTCAAATAAATCTTCTGAAAAAGACACATGTTTTAAGTCCGGTAGATGGATAAGTGATGGATAACTAAGATTACCGTGTTGACTACAATAATCAGATTTTACTTGGTGTGACCTCCTTTTCTTATTAACCGTATAGTTGAAAAGGAGGCATCTGGATCTTGTACAGGAGCTTTTTGTTCATTTGGTGCAAACCTTTTTTTTTTTTTTCTTTAATTCTAGTAACTATCAAAACTGTCCAGTATGCCCACTATTATTACTAATTTTTACTGCATCATTTTGTTTAATAAGTAGTTCAAAATCTAAAGGTTACTACAGGTCACGTACTTACAGTTAACGGCCTGGGGTAAACTTTCAAATGACCGTCTTCTGTAAGTAATTAAATCGGTTTCAGCAGCAGTTCTGTTCTACCCAACGTTCTTACCTTGTTTTGTGTTTTCGGCCCACCTGGCTGACTTGCAGGAGGTGTATGACATGTCGAACGGTTATGAAGACCACATGGGAGGGGATGAGGGGAAGGATGCCAAGACCAACCTGATCGTGAACTACCTCCCTCAGAACATGACGCAGGATGAGCTGCGGAGCCTCTTCAGCAGCATTGGGGAGGTGGAGTCTGCCAAGCTAATAAGAGACAAAGTTGCAGGTATGCAAAGTTTTGAAGCAATAAATCATGTCAGATCAGATCCAAACAAGATCTTGGATTAAATAGAAAAGGATTCCTGTTAGACTTGGCCAAAAATACATGCTGTGGCATTGCCAGACCATGTCGAGGTGGAGATTTGTCTTATAATAATTTTATTTATTTGGACGCTGTTTATTAATGGCCTATT